AAATCATGTATCCCCTCATGTTTTCTTGAATTGTGTGTGTATGTATTTTGCAAATATATATGATTTGCAAATATTTGCACCTTGTGTGTGGCTTGTCTTTTCATTCTCTCTTCATTCACTGTCTTTCAGAGAATAGAAATTTTTAATATTGTTGAAGTGCAACTTGTCAATTTTTATTTTTGTGGATCATGCTTTTGGTGTCACATCTGAGAATATTTTGCCTAATGGAAGGTCACAAATAGTTTCTCCTATGCTTTAATCTAAAATACCTACAGTTTTAGGTTTTACACTTTGGTATATGATCATTTTGAGCTAATTATTGTCAAGTTATTCTTGCACTCCTGGGATAAACCCTACTTGTTCATGATACATCTTTTTATAAATTGTTGTATTCCATGTGCTAAAATCATGTTAATAATTTTTTGCACTTACAGTCATGAGAGATACTGGTCTATGATTTTCTTTTCCTATAATATCTTTATCAAGTTTTGTGATCAGGATACTGCTGACCCCCTAGAATCAGATGGAAAGTATTCCTTCTTATTTCTTTTGTGGATAAGATTGTGTAGAGTTGGTATTAATTTTCCTAAAATGTTTGCAGAATTTCCTAGTGAAGCTAGTGAAGTAATATGGGTCTGGAGTTTTCTTTGTAGGAAGGTTTTCCATTTCTTTAAGAGATGTAGGACTATTCAGGTTTCCCATTTTTTTCTTGAGTAGGCATTGGTGGTTTGTGTCTTTTAAAGGAAATGGTCTTTATCACCTAAACGACAAATTTACTGGCACATAGTTGTTCAAAATATTCCCTTATCATCCCTTTAATAACTGCATGATATCTCTCATTGCTGATACAGGTAATCTGTGTCCTCTCTCTTTATCTGAACAATCTGACTAGAGATTTATTAGTTTTTTTAATCTTTTTTTAAAAAACCAGCTTTTAATTTCACTGGTTTTCTCGAATTTTTCTTCTATTTTATTGATTCCCACTCTTAACTTCCATTATCCCATTTCTTCTGCTTACTTTGTGCTTGACTGGCTCTTACAGTTTCTTAGAGTGGAAGCTGAAATCATTGATGTGATATCTTTCTTCTTTTCTTATACAGGCATTTATGTAACTTTCCCTCTGAAAACCTCAGCAGTGTTTCACAAATTTTAATATGTTGTATTTTCATTTTCATTCAGTTCAAAATACTTGCTAATTTCCATTTTAATGTCTTCTTTGATTCATGGGTTTGTTATAAATGTGTTCAAATATTTGGGGGCTTTGCAGAAAACTTTCTGCTATGTTTTAGTTTAATTCCATTATCAGAGAACACACTCTATATTACTTGAATTTTCTTATACTTATTTAAATTTGTTTCATAGCCATTATATAGACTATTTTGGTACATGCTATGTACTTTAAAAAATGCCTCTTCTGCTGTTATTGAATGCATTTTTCTATAAATATCAATTAGGTAAATTTGGTCAGTAATGTTATTCTAGTCATCTATATCCTTACAGGTTTTTTTACTTGTTCTGTTAATTATGAAACAGGGTATTATTGTTGCTCACTAGAGTTTTAGATGTTTCTCTTTCTCCTGGCAATTCTATCAACTTTCACTTCAGGTATTTTGAAGCTGTGTCATTTTTAAAAAATTAGAATCATTATGTTCTCTTGATAAATTAACCCCTTAATCATCAGATGGCCCTATTTATCCCTAGTAATTTCCTTTCACTGAGGTCTACTTTATCAGATATTAATACACCCATTCTTACTTTGTTTGGATTAATTTTATCATTGTATATATTTTTCGTGAATTTACTTTTAACATATTTGTGTCTTTATATTTAAAGTTAATTTCTTATAGGTAGCATATAGATGGATGTTGTATTTTATCTAATCTAACAATGTCTGATTTTTAAATGGGGTGTTTAGATTATTTATATTTCATGCAATTATTTATACACATGACTTTAAGCCTACCATCTCGTTATTCATTTTCTATTTCTGTTCTTTCTTCCTCTTTTCCTCTTTGTCTTGATTTGGATTAATTATTTTTAATATTTCATTGTATTTACTTTTTTGACTTGTTAGTCATAACTGTCTATTATTTTAATGATTGTTTGGGTGATTATATACTTTTAACTTAACATAATCTACTTTCAGATGATATCACATCATTTCACAAATAGTATAAAAAATCTTTCTTTCATTTCTCTCCTAGTGGCACCTGTGTTATTTCCATCACACATTTTATTTCTACACATTATCTCCACAATATATTATTATTATTACTATTGCTTTAAACAACCAATTCTCTTTTAAAGAGACAAAAATAATTAGCACTGTGGGGTTGTGGGGTTTTTTTGTTTTTGACACACAGTCTTGCTCTGATACTCAGGTTGGAGTGTAGTGGTGTAATCATGGCTCACTATAGCCTCAACCTCCTGCCTCAACCTCCCAAGTAACTGGAACTACAGCTGTGGACCTTCACTGAACCTGACTAATTTTTGTATTTTTTGTAGGGATGGAATTCCAGCATGTCGCCCATGCTGGTCTCAAATTCCTGGGCTCAAAGGATCTGCCCGCCTCAGTATCCCAAAGTGCTGGAATTACAGGCATGAGCCACCATGTCAGGCCTAGTAGCATTGTTATATTACTTACATAGTCACCATTGCCAATGCTCTATATTTCCATCTGGTATCATTTTTCTTCAGCCTGAAGGATGTTCTCTAACATTGCTTATTATGAAGATCTGCTGGTGATGAGTTCTTCAGTTTTTGAATATCTTAAGGTCTTTATATTGCCTTAAATTTTGAAAAACATTTTCATTGGGAAAAGTTTTCTATATTAACAGGTTCCTCTTTTAGTATTCTAAAGATGTTCTTCCACTGTCTTCTTACTTGCATTGTTGCCAACAAGAAATCTGCTGTCAGCCTTATTTTAGATCCTCTTGTACATAATACACCTTTTCTCTCTGCTTTTAAGATTTTCTCTTTATCACTAATTTTAAACAATTCTATTATAATGTGCCTTTGTTTTGTCTCTTCATGCTTCCTGTGCTTGGAATTTGTTGAGTTCCTTGAATCAGTGGGTTATAGCTCTCAATTTTGCACATAGAAATTGTTCAGACACTATTTCCTCCAATATTTTTCTGTTCCTTGCTTTAACCTGTCAGAGACTATAAATACTCAGAAATGAGGCCATATGAAATTTTCTCACATCTCACTGATGCTCTGTTCTTTTTTTTTTTTTTTAAAAGTATTTGTTTTCTCTCTGTTTTTCCTTATGAATACTTTTGTTATCTTCTCAAGTTCACTGCTATTTTCTTCCACATTGTTTAATCTGGCATTAGCAATGTTTAGTATATTTTTTGTCTCATATATTGCAGTTTTCATCTCTTGAAATTTGAGTTTTTTTATGTCTTCCATGTATTTAGTTAACATGTTCAATCTTTCCTCCAGCTTCTTGAATATAGAGAATACAGTTAAAATAACTCTTTTAATGTCCCATCTAGTAATTCTATCATCTGTGTCATTTTTGGGTCAGTTACAATTGATTGATTTTTCTCTTTAGTACAGCTGTGGACTAAATGAGCTGAAGCATCTCTGGCTCCATGTTCCATGGTTTCACATTGGCATTGGCATTGGCATTGCAAGTTCATGCTCAAAGTATCTTTACAGAACTCATTCTGCTTCAGAAATCTTATTACCCAGTCTGTGTACAGCTCCATACCAAACTGAGACTTGCTTTAGGGTTGTCTGCCACTACTTAGGAACTATGTGTTTAGGACTCTATTAGCACTGGAGAGTTTGCATAATGCCAAGCTACCATCTTTCCCATCTGCCTGAGTTTTTCAAGTGATGTACCCTGCTCATCCACTAAGGTATCTGCTACCACACTTGGCACTCATTGGCAATTGTTTGACTGGACTTTAACTGACAGGCTGTGTAATGTTGTGGCTAAATGTCTACTTTCAGGTTATAGGGCCTGACTGCTTGGGTTTGCATTCCTGCCAAACTACTTAGTAGGTATGGCTTTGAGCAGGTGATTAACTTGTCTGTACCTCAGTTTCCTCACCTGTAAAGATAATAATGATACTTATCCTATCAGATTGTTGTACTGATAAAATTTGACAATGCAATTTAAGGATATGAGAATAGCATCTGGCTTAGATACTTTGTTGTTAGAGTAAGCGGTGCAGCCTGCATCTACACCTGGGAATTTGAGTCTGTAGATCACATTCTTAATCATTATATGATATCTTTATATCTGCTTTGCAGGTTAGAGAAAATTTCCCTTCTGTATTTATGGCTGGATCAACTTCTCTGATGATTTCAGCTTAAGCACATCCTAAGTGCCTATCTAGCCAGAAGTCATTGGTAATGGTTTTTTAAGTCCTGAAGTATGATAGAAATCATTTTTTTCAACACTAAGTGAAAACAAAATATCAAAACTAAAGACCAAGAAAAAAGAAAGTGATTAGAAAACAATATTTTGAGACTCTTGGAGATAAATCAACTTTCTTCCTTAATCTGTTTTCCTTTATTGTATCTTCCTAAATCAGAAAAAAACAAATATGAAGGACACTTATAGTCCCTTACAAGCCAGCATTTTTTGGTCTCTGTGATTATTCTTTCACAGTTCAATATTTTATATTCAGAAGATGGAAAAAAGGTTAAGAATACACACAAAAATTTAAGTTTGTTGATTAGCAATCAAAACGGATATAAAGAAATGAGTTATAATAATTATAGAGTAAAGCAGCAGTTTGTCTACAACATAGGTACATGTTGAAGGCCAACATTTCACATTTTAAAATATTTTTAAAACACTACCAAACTAAGTGGCATACATTTTCAAGCTTACTTTAGATTCAGAAATTAATATTGTTATTATGAACACAAATATAAACATTGAATGAATATTCAATCCAAACCAGGAGGCATCACAATTGAACTGCTCAGAATTCTTGAAATTAGCATTTATTATCTTGAGATAAATAACTCATAAGCATTACCTTTTCTGTAGGATTAATTTGTATCCTTCTAGTGATGTTCCCTCAGCAGCCTTGACTCTGATAGGATGACCAATAGCCAGGCAGCCCTGAGTTATCGCTCGACTCAGGATCATTCCAGTCTTCCAATGAATAGAGAGGGGGAGAAAGGTCTAAATAAGTTAAAAGAACCAGAAAATTCAACAATGTGTCACAAATAGTGAGGTCATTATGCCTGGATAACCCTGGATATTAACAGTTGCTGAAAGTGAAACACTACCCACAACTTAGCAGTCAGCGAGCCCTGCTCAGAGTCAGTAATCTTCTGTCCAACAAGGGTGGCATTTTACAGTTCAGTGCAAAATAAAACAGACCTTGATATCTTCATTTGTCTTTTTTTTTCTGTGCATATTTCACAGTGCAGCAATTTGGGGTCCATCACGTGTCACTTGCTGTAGTTATAACTACAGAGCTTACTGGAAATATGTACGCATAGAAAAAAAATAGTGCAGTGAACTGAAAAGACTGAAACAAATCCTTAACCTTTGTATTAATTTAAAGTTTTACTCTGGGTCTAAATATCATGGGTTAAACATTTTAAGGTGGTTTGTGAACTGCTTTTGTTTTAAATGTTAGGATTTCCTGCCAAGGAAATTAAAGGGGAGTATTGCTTGAAGGGCCATTTAACCATTTTCTTACTTAGTGAGTCAATACAACATTTTTTATAAGTGACAACCACAGAGAAATTTATCTACATCTACTGGAGATTTATGGCACGTAAAATTCTCTCTTAACAGGTAAAAAGGTTTATTTTTAAAAGAAGAAGAGAGAGTTCAATCTTAAAGGATTTTCAGAATTGTTTCCTTTTTAGCATATACTTTATTTCTTGTGTTTGTAGTGTGGAAAAGAAACATGATGATGACTGATGACTTAGGAAAAATATTTCTTTAAAAAATTGGTTTTAATAAGCACTGAATGAAATCCTTGTTTGCCCATGCTTGTCTACACAGAAAGAACTGCTTAGGGTGAGGAAAGGCAGCCATCATTTATTAAGCACTTTCTGTATACCAGACACCATGCTTGAACATCACACATGCTTTCTCATTTCACCTTTGCAGCAACTGTGCAAAACAGGTATGGCTAACGTCATTCATAGAAGAGAAAACAGTAGTTCAATGCAGCTAAGTAACGTTCCCAATGTCACACAAGATATTTCAATTATTTAATAACTCCAAAACTACACTCTTTTGGTAGGCATTCCAATTATTTTTGAGGAGATTTTAGACAAGTATATGTTTTTGATTATCATGAAATTCTAGAAACAGATACTATGAAATTAAAGAATATGGGATCTGAGAATGGACCTTCCATAGCAAGGGGTCCAACTTGTTTTCATAGAACACTAAGGCCTAGATAACATGTGTGACTTGTCTGCTGTCATACAGCTATTCAGTGGCAGTGCTGAGACTAAAACACTTCCATTATGCTCACAGGTAAGTCAAATATTGAGGAGTGTTTTATATTACAATGAAAGTTCTGAAGTCAAAGAGACCAAGAATCTTTCCTCTGCCATTTTAACCTCAGTTTCTTCAGCTGTATAATAAAAATCTGCACAGTTCTTATAACATTAAATGAAATAATAAATGTGAATAAAGTACCTAATGTAATGTCTGACATATGGTATTCAACTAAGTGGAGATATTATTATTAAATCAGAAACAAAATACCATGTAAAAAGGGCAAATAGTTAACATAGCCTCCAGCTGGAAATCCAGATTTCAGGAATAGCTCATGTAAACTTACTATGCTTTGACACATGAAATAAATAATATGTCTTAGTACCTTTGTGTCTTAATTATTCTACATGTTCTTTTTTAACTTTTAAAGAACAATAGCTAAGGGCAATTCAAAATTTCATTTGAGAAAATAGTGTCAATCTTCCCTCCCCCCAGCAAACCTCACTGGGTGACTTCACATTCACAGGAGTGCTAAGAAGTAGCAAAATTGTCTGTGATGAGGGGGCAAAGGGAGATACAGGAAGGATAATTGTGAACTGCACCATCTTTTTTCAACATAAATACATATTTACAAAATGTACTGCAGTAGTGAGATGAAAGAAAAGGACAATTCTATGTTCTTCTATAAGTCATATGCAATAGTACAATAAATAATAAGTGAAAAAGATTAAATATTACCAACACACAGGAACAAAATGTGTTAGGCACTGTTCATATTTATACTCAGGGATTTCTTTTAAAACTATGTCCTTGCTAAGACGATATGCAAAGCTGGTATATGTTGGTAATCTACCAGGCAGGAAAGCTGAGGGGTAAAATTCAAAATGAAGATCTAGGAGTAGAAGCACATTCAGACAAATCTCATGAAAATAATGAGTCTGTGAACTACAGACAAATTCTATGCTTGGTTTAAATACACTGTGAGGTATAAACTAACGAGCAGCATGTCCGATAGTGAACTGAATGCTCACTTGACAATCTACATAAGTCCTGTGGGCTAGGCAATACCAACAGCAGAGATAGCATTTATAAGAGCCAACAATTTACCACGCTTTCACTTCTATGCTCGCATGCATGAGAGCACTGGGTACCAGCAAGTGCGGTGAGCCAGCAAGCAAGGGGAGGTCACTCAGGGAAAACAGACACTCTTAGGTACCTTGGTGATCAGCCACACACTGGCTGCAGGCCAAAGGATCGATGGCACTATTTGACTCCTGCTGCTTGCTTCACTGCCTGAGAAACTCCACTTTCCAATGGAAACAGAGGCATGAAGGACAATATTGGGATCTACCTATATCATGAGAAGAAGTATGCATTTTTAACTCATAGTCTAAGAGTTAAACTCTTCAACACACTTAACCAAAATAAGTTATCCTAGAACATTATTTATTCTGATTGATACCTCTTTTCAAAAAGTAGCATTCAATCCCCTTTAATTCAATTCAATCAAGAGTTGTTGAGTACCGACTCTAACATGCAAGACCCTATGCTGTGTGGTGTGGAATATTATAAAATATTTTTTCCTGACCCAAAGAAACATACAACAGAGTAGAGGCAATTTCTCTCTCTCTCTCCCCACTCACCTTTCATGATAAGCTCCATATGAATGATTAAATAGTAGTATTACAGGCATGAAAAAATGGTACGCTCATTTCCGCTCGAGTTACCTAAAGGTGGAGCATCTTGGAAGAGGTAACAGGTAAAGCAGGCCTTGAAGGATGGGGACAATTTGACAGGAATAATAAAGAATAAAAAGGTATTCCAAGTAAAGGCAAGGAAGTTTAATCAATGAGCCTTAGGATTTGCTGGTAGACTCAAAAAGTAAATTTGTCCAAACTGTAGAAAGGGTCAAGTGTAAAGCTATGGAGTCAGGTGGACAGTAGGGAGCCAGTGAAAGCTTTCTTTTTTTTCTTTTTTCTTTTTTTATACTTTAAGTTCTGGGGTACATGTGCAGAACATGCAGGTTTGTTACATAGGTACACATGCCATGGTGGTTTGCTGTACCCATCAACCTGTCATCTACATTAGGTATTTCTCCTAATGCTATCCCTCTCTAGCCCCCCACCCCCCAACAGGCCCCAGTATGTGATGTTCCCCTCCCTGTGTCCCTGCGTTCTCATTGTTCAACTTTCCTTGTGAGTGAGAACATGTGGTGTTCGGTTTTCTGTTCTTGTGTTAGTTTGCTGAGAATGATGGCTTCCAGCTTCATCCATGTCCCTGCAAAGGACATGAACTCATCCTTTTTTATGGCTGCATAGTATTCCATGGTGTACATGTTACATTTTCTTTATCCAGTCTATCATTGATGGGCATTTGGGTTAGTTCCAAGTTTTTGCTATTGTGAACAGTGTTGCAATAAACATATGTGTGCATGTGTCTTTATAGCAGAATGATTTATAATCCTTTGGGTATATACCCAGTAATGGGATTGCTGGGTCAAATGGCATTTCTGATTCTAGATCCTTGAGGAATTGCCACACTGTCTTCCACAATGATTGAACTAATTTACACTCCCACCAACAGTGTAAAAGTGTTCCTATTTCTCCACATCCTCTCCAGCATCTGTTGTTTCCTGACTTTTTAATAATCAAAACTATCTCGCTAACAGCAGATTTTAGTAAGGTTGATCTGGTAAAGGTAGAGGATAACAGACTGTAGAACGAAGACATCAAAGGCAGGGAAAATAGCTGGGAGTTCATACAATCTCCTAAGAATAAAGAAATACGAGCTGAGACTTTAGAGAGAGTTGTGGGGATGGACAGGGGGTACTGAAGGGGGAGACTTTGCATGCACTTCTCCTGTGTTCCTTATCAGATTACATATGCCAAAGGTGTTGTGCACCTTCTATTCTAGCATTGCTCACTTAGACCTGATTGTCAAATTAGTAGGCACTCACATCACTTGTAGGAATTCTATTACTTCATACTTAATAAATTTTATCTCCTAAATTACATGATCACTTTCACTGAGTAATTATTCTAGGTTTTTTAGTACCAATATTTATTTGTGTATGCTTACAGGAATATACCAATTTATATTTAAAACCCAATAAATGATGTTGCTTCAATAACAATTTATTTCCTAACACTAAAACATCCATTCTGTATCTGCGCTAATACTAGATATTTGTTGAATACCAAATTATTTTTTAAAATGCATAAATTCAATGATGATTTAAAACAAAAAATTTTACAAGTATAATCAGGCACTATCATAAAGATAAAACTAATATATGTGGTAATTATTCTATAATGAAAGTTACTTCTCAAGAGAAGAAAACGTCATATGACTCCTACATGTGAAAATGAAATTTTAAAAAATACAGCAACACCACCACATAAGCAGATTTGACTTACAGTGCTTACAGTGCCTGGATTCTGGCGGGGAATCCCCACAGTTTCTGAACAATGATAAACTACATTGTACTAATCCGTTCGCCACAGGACTCAGCATTTAAAGTAGCAGTCTTACTCAACCTCCTAACTCCAAGTTGCCATCACACTCAAAACTCCCCTCTGCAACTGGGCAGAAGATTGTTTTGACTGAAATTAGTCAGACAGAAGAACCATACAGCCAACTGCTTCTTTGTACAGCACCTGCTGCCAGCGCCTACATTCTTGTTATCTCCACAACATGGTTTAATCTTTTAACAGTTGGCTTATTGGTGAAGAGTGAAGGGGTCCTTTGTCTCTGCCTTGGGCTGGCACCCAGTATTAACACCATGCTGTTCTTCAAGAGATATTTTGCTGGACAGTTCCCAAGTGATTCCACATAGAGCAGACACAGCAAGGCCCACTAACTCAGCTTTATTTTGTATTATTAAAAAAAAAAAGATTCCTGCCAAGTCTGGTGTTCTGATATGCTTAAAACTGACAATGGCCATTACATTTTTCTTCTGTGACTTCACTTTTTAAATTAATTTGATGGCTTAGCTTTAGACCAAATGAGGGTGGGAAGTTAAGAACTATGAAAGCTGGGATTTCAGAAAAAAAAAAGTGTTCTGACAATCTACAACATAACATGCCATATGTATGTGTGTGTGTGTGTGCCCATGTACACACATGCACGTGCACATGTGTATAAGAACATTTAGATTGAGACTGGTATCTAAATGCATACTATCATATATGTCATTAAAACAATTTTTAAGTCTTATTGAGAATCAAAAAAAATCTCTGTTATTCTTTTAAATACTTATACACATAGGTCCTTTAAGTGACCATTATAACTTTGCTTGTCTTAATAAACTGTGCTGATGTAGAAGCAGTCAATGATAAAGCAATGTATACACATGCTGGGCCAGTTAAAACGTGTTTAATTATTTTTCCCAAACAGCTAATGAAGGTGGAGTAGCCTTAAATATTCTTGTGCAAATTCAAAATAAGAAAAGAACCACTTATGATCTTCTCTTGCACATCTACTAAGAAACAGAACACAAGACAATGAAATGTTTCTTGAAAGAAGTTCATAGAGCACAACCCTCATTTTGAACAAATTGTTTATTCTATTGCAAATAAATTTTACATGATGTTCACTTTTGATAATGCATTTAGGGTCAATTTGAATAATTTCACACATAAGTTAAAATCATAGCTAATTAAAGAAAATGTTATAAAACCTCTTTCCTCATGTAATTTCTGTTCTCTCTTATTGTTTCTATGCTCTAACTTTATAGCTGACCAGTCCACCCACTTCTACGGCCAACAAATGGAAAGAGCTGAGAGTAGAAAACATCAGCAAGGCAAAATTATGCAGTCAAACAAGGCAAAATATCTAAGATCTAATTTGTCTGAAAATAAGAGAAGGACTTAGGCTTTTAATTCAAGTCCTGTGTCCTATGTTAATGGCAATCTGTTCAAAATTTTAACTAGAATTTTGTATTTGCTTCAGTACATAAATAATTTATACAAAATATCATTTTCAATGACTTGCTCTCCAAAGAAATAGAACAGCAAAGAGTTGTTTGTCATTTCCCAGACTCCTTTGTGGCAAAAAGAATAATGCCAGAATAATACAGTACTTCAGTAATTATGAATGCATTCTACTAGCATCCATAACTACTGAACTTACAAGCTAAATTGTAACAAGCATATCATAATTCCAAAATTATAACTTGATGTTTTTCTTGCCGTTTCCATAAAGGAAATTGTCACTAATGTCCTACTGATGTCTGCGAAGCCATGTACTGAAAGGTTAGAATTAAAATAAGTTTCCTTTTGATTCTGGCAGAATATATGACCTGCCAAACATTGGAGTCCATTTTTCTGCTATATTTTCCCATAACCAGGCATTCCTCAAACTATTCTTCTCATGAAATATCTCCTTTGATATTAACTACCATGAAATTTAAATCTCATCCATTTCAAAGAAATATCTAGTTTGATTGCCATCAAACTGAGTCAATCTAAAAATGTTGCCAATTTAAGTAGCAATAGAGAGATGTTGAAAAATGTATCTGCCAAATTGTCAATGTGTAGTAGATTCCAAATCTGTTTTTGAAATGGATAAAAGAGCAACAGGTTGTAATTGTCAGGGTTATATCTGACTCCCACATTACAAATGGGGATTATATGTTCCAAATTTTTCTCTGTAGGAAAGGTTCTACTTGTCAATAACAGATTTAAAAGAACAGTCAGGGGCTAGGCACTGATATCTCTATCTCAAGCCAATTTTAAAACATATGCATCAAGAATATCGGCTTTTGCCTCCCTTCTCTCAACCCCCGTTGTAATCCTCTTAGTGTGTTCTTTACCTCAATGAGCAGCAAGATTCTACAATAAAATGCCCTACAGATATCCGTCACCTCTGCCTGAATCCATCTTTAAAAGTGCTCCTTTTCCGGTTATTAAATTACTATTCCCAATGCACTGATCACCACTCTGTAAATAATTGGAGATATTTTTCTGAAGGATTTTAAAGGTTCCAGCTATGGAGGAGCTGTTTGTCTTTGAAAGCTTCTCTTTACTAGCCAATTTATCAAATTTTTGCTTTCTTACACTACTATTTTTGTTGAACTAAAATTTTTAAAAACTAAAAATGCCATAACATATAAACATTTACTTGAGAGAGTATTTTCTCATGTTCACTAATTCATTAGAACCATTAAATAATGATAAAATAACTGTAGACTGTTATTCTGTCATTTTTCAACATTTTAGAAAATAGAGTTATCTTGTTATAGTTATCCCACTTTGACATAAAAGTAAAGAGAAAAGCCTCCTTTGAGGTCCTTTTCTCTGATATCTCTTTGCTAACCAATTGTTTTTTAGGTTTGAGTTGGTCTCTGAATTAGTTAATTGACTAGTAAATTTAATTCAGGTCAGCTAACTGAATATCTAGATAATGCAGCAGAGACATCAGGATACCCTTTGCCTTTGAGAAATTTTCAATTTAGTAGGGAGGATAAGACAAGGACCTCCTGAGTTATCTTCCTAATATGAAGATCAGATTACATCTTGTCTGTGCTCAAATATTTTCGATGGTTCCTTGCTTTCTAGAGAAAAACCAGAATTCCCTAATATCGAATTAAGACCCTTCATGATCTGATCCTAACATCCCCAATAGAGCCTACCATTCTCCCCCATCTACCCTGATGTAATCTGAAATATGCTCAGACTTGGAGCCTAGCTGATTTTGAGCCATTCAAGAAATTGTAAGAGGAACAGCATCTAGTTCAACGTCATTGTAAATGGCTCAGAAGGGAAACATCATATCTGGTTTGGAAATGGGGTTGGAGTACAGAAAGATTTCATGAAGCAGTCACAAATCAGACAGGGCTAGAATGATGGGCAAGTTTTTTTTTGTTTTGTTTTGTTTTGTTTTGTTTTGTTTTTTTGAGACAGAGTCTCGCCTCACTACAACCTCCGCTTCCCGGGTTCAAGCGATTCTCCTCCCTCAGCCTCCCGTGTAGCTGGGACCACAGGCACGCGCCACCACACCCAGCTAATTTTTGTATTTTTAGTAGAGACGGGGTTTCATCATGTTGGCCAAAATGGTCTCGATCTCTTGACCTCGTGATCCACACGCCTCAGCCTCCCAGAGTTCTTGAATTACAGCCGTGAGCCACTGCACCCGGCTGATGGGCAGGATTTTAATAGCCTTTATTGAATACGCCAAACTCTGTGCTAGGATATGGCATGAGGGTGACAGAGAAGGCTGGGTGTGGTGACAATGAAAGGTGGAATGCTAGTCAAAGAGGTCCACATGTGCATAACAACAGAAATCATGGAGTGCTTTCAGAAAAAAGCAAATAACAATCTGGCTTGGCTGACACACAAAGACCATATTAGAGAATATTCAGCCTTGAAAGATAGGTTATGGCTAACTAAGCAAACAAAAAAATACATTCATCAAACACGTATTGTGCATTTTCCCTACATTCAAGACTTTGTGTTCGTGCTTAGGAACACAAAGACAAGTAAGACATCGCCTGTACCCAAAGAATCCTCAGTTTAGTGGAGGAAAAACATAAAAGCTAATACCTATACCAAAACACAAACTCAACAACAATTTTCAAAGGAAGATGAGTCCTGAGAAAACAAAATAAAGATTAATTCTTTCCAGAGTATCTAAGAAGGGTTTAAGGAAGAAGAAGTCGAGTAAAGCCTTAAGAAGCAAGCAATGGTAATGGTTGGCGGTATATCCCAGGCAAAAAACAACACAAGCCATGGCACAAGTATACGAAAGTGGAAAGCATGTTCTACTGCACAATTGATTAACTCTGACTGTAATGTAGAGTATACAGAGCAAGAGGAGAAAATTGGAAAGGTAAGTTGAGAGTGGAGGTAGATTAGAAGAGAATCATGGAGATCAATGAAGTACAGATGAAAATTTGGAAAGTCAAAAGGCAACAGCCAGGCATACATGTGTTTTTTTTGTTTTTTGTTTGTTTGTTTTTGAGACAGAGTCTCGCTCTGTCGCCCAGGATGGAGTGCAGTGACGTGCTCTCAGCTCACGGCAAGCTCCGCCTCCTGGGTTCATGCCATTCTCCTGCCTCAGCCTCCCGAGTAGCTGGGACTACAGGTGCCTGCCACCACGCCTGGCTATTTTTTTTTAATTTTTAGTAGAGATGGGGTTTCACCGTGTTAGCCAGGAAGGTCTTGATCTCCTGACCTCATGATCCGCCCACCTCGGCCTCCCACAGTGCTGGGATTACAGGCGTGAGCCACCGCGTCCAGCCCATACATGTGTTTTGAGCAGGAAAATAATGCTACAGCAAAAACCTAACAAGGAATACCAACAGGATCAGATCTACAGTAAATAAATCTTAATGTCAGATGAAGGAAAAATACAAAATACATTAATGAGTACATAATTCTAGTTACTTTAATTTTCTAAATTTTCTCACAACCAGGCAGAAGTAGAAATATCTGATTCTATTTTTATAAGTACACTTATTTAGATCCATATGCTCCTTGAAGCAATCAATATTTTCAGTTTAAATTTTGACATAATTGAGAAACTGAATGGGTAGCATAAAGAAATTTTAAAAGAGCAGGTTGGGGCAATGTGTCTCTTGCATTGACTCTTGGAAATACAGGGCCCAGTTGATAGGAAGTCCTACTTTCTTTGGACTGCTCTGTCTCCGTAAGTGACTTTTGATTTTGATTTCACGTGTTCAAAAATTAAAGTTTACACTGCTAAAATGAGCAACAATCATACACAGAGTTTGCTAGCTAAGAAAAACAAAATAATTATTCCTTCTTTGGAGACAGATTTAAAATGCCTTTCATAACTGAGCTAGAGGAAAAAAAAATCTTCTTTACTGGAAGGATAAATTTCTAAGTGTAAACTGATATGGACCTTTGGGATTGGGTTGCCATGAGTTAGGTTTCCTAAAGAACTTGTGTTCCTTAGATACAATGACCTACAGAGCAAATAGATCAGATCCTAAACTATAGAGATAGCAGCCATCTTAAAGACTTCCTTAAATAACTCCAACTTATTATTATAGCTATTAATAGTACAAAGAAAATATGCCAAGCAATAGGGCTTAAATAACATAAATCAGTTATAAGTTTTTCAGGTAGGAATTATATATATTGCTTTCTGTTTTGAAGTGCCTGGTTAATTAACAGGAAGTAAAGAATAACACCTGCCCCAACATTTGTAAAAATAAGTTATAGTTTAAAAAACTGTAATATAATTTATAGTTTAAAAAAAACTGTCACAGTCCGGGCGCGGTGGCTCATGCCTGTAATCACAGCAATTTGGGAGGCCAAGGTGGACGGATCACTTGAAGTCAGGAGTTCGAGACCAGCCTAGCCAACATGGCAAAATGGCCAACATGGCCCATCTCTACTAAAAGTACAAAAATTAGCCAGGCACAGTCCCAGCTACCTGAGAGGCTGAGGCAGGAGGATCGCTTGAACCCAGGAGGCAGAGGTTGCAGTGAGCTGAGATCACGCCACTGCATTCCACCCTGGGCAACAGAGCAAGACTCCATCCCAGGGGAAAAAAAAAAAACTGTCACAAATATCCATTATATATTGGCTGAGTATCCAACGCATAAAGTGCACCTTTTAAAGTACGAGAACTAAAATCTGACCTTGTTCTGTAGAAAATGGTTCTCCAAGTCCACCTTTTTAAACTGGTCAGGTATCTGTTGACTGGTATAGTTGAAATTAATTGGAAATCCCTCACAAACTTCCCAGCTAAGAAGAGTAAAATATGTAATTATTTATATTAGAATAATATGCATTTAATTACAATACCCTTTACTCTTTATACTCTTTTCTCTTTACGTATACACTATTACTAATAATTTATACATCAAATCTTGCCTGGAAAGCACCAGCAGTCATTGGGGAATAAAGCTGCCATTTAAACAACTACCAATGAGTATGTCCCTCTAGACATATTTAGCAATAGGTTGTCACTGGCTGGACTCAGTGATCTCATCAGACTGCTTTTGGTTCTCTGTATATGCCTTCTACTTCAGCATTTTTAACTGTTTATTAAAAAGAGCTATAATTTGTTAAATTATAAGATTGTTAAAGCTAGATGGGACCTTATAGATAGATTACTTAATCCAAAACAGTATCAGGATCTGCTGCAGTGTCCAATATGGTAGTCAGTAGCTACCTATTCCTATTGAAATTTAAATTAATTTACTTGAACAAAATTTAAAATTCAGTTTTGCATTCACACTAGTCACATTTCAAATGCTCAATAGTCACAAAGTGTGTGTCCGTCATCACAGAAAGTTTTATCGGATGGCACTAAATAGTGGATAAGCACTCAGGTACTTAAGACAAATGATCTGGGTTAGAATCCTGACTCTACCATGTACCAGCTGTGTGACTTTGGACAAATTACTTCTCTCTTTGTGCCTTGGTTTCTGTCTCTGAGAAATGGAGTAAGAGTAGAGTAATACAGAATAATAGGAGTAAGATAATTGTGAGAATTAAATCAATCCTTACCCAATTAATTTGTAACTGTGCCTGGCCTATGGTCAACACTCAGTAAAAGCCAGTTTGTATTATTCGCAGATAAGAAACCAACACCAGGCCGGGCATGGTGGCTCACGCCTGGAATCCCAGCACTTTGGGAGGCGGAGGTGGGCGGATCACGAGGTCAGGAGATCGAGACCATCCTGGCTAACACAGTGAAACCCCATCTCTACTAAAAAAATACAAAAAATTAGCCGGGCGTGGTGGCGGGCGCCTGTAGTCCCAGCTACTCGGGAGGCTGAGGCAGGAGAATGGCGTGAACCTGGAGGCTGAGCTTGCAGTGAGCCGAGAGCATGCCACTGCACTCCAGCCTGGGCAACAGAGCGAGACTCCATCCCCACCCCGCATAAAAAAAAAAAAAAAGAAACCAGCTCCTGGACAATCACGAGCAAAGACGAAGCAAAGTGCCTCCTTAGATCTTCTAACTCCTACTCTTCACTGCCCCAACAAGTCCCCAGAAGGTTGCTTTTGTTTTAAATGTGCCATCATCAGATAAGAAGTTTAAATGTGAACACTCATACACAGAACATATTTTATATTTTAATGATTCCATTTTAAATAATTAATTTAGAAATAACCACTAAAAACAGCTTTTATGTTTCAAACAAAATTGCTGTTTCTGCAAAGCAGAAACTATGCTTTGCTCATGGCCCCATATGGTTTTCTAAAACTAGGGAACGTTAACAAGTCTTTTAGGCACTACCTCATTAAACCATTAAATAAGTCAATAAAAGAAACAATTCTTATTTAAGATAACTGAAAAAGCATCTTTTAGTGTTTCGAATCTCTTACTCTGAAAAATCCTGAATTAAGTGATTTGGATTACTTTAACCAGATCTTTAACAAGATTACTTGTTAATTTACTTGCCACATCCAGGTAGCAGAACAGCATTAGGACCCAAAAAGGTCTTATATGCAACCATGATGTCACCTCTGGCAAATGCACTCACTCGGTCAAAGGTCAAACCCAAAGCAAGGTTTAGTGGAGATCTGAAAAACGGAAAAAAAATCAAAACTATCTTCAGAATTATACACACACTGAAATTTGAGCACAAATAAACAATAAAATACACATTATCAGTGTCTAATAAAATTCAGAAATAAGTGAATTTCCTATTATATAGCACTATTGTTGGTATTCTATACTAACACCTGAAATGTGTACTTCAGTTTATTTAGCTGATCTATAATATGCCAAAATAGTTTCAACATATGTAATTTTAAAAATAATAATTGCAATAATTAAAGCCAAGTATTTAGTTAGGAAAAACAATCGTCATTCATATAATGTTCATTTTTCATGTATAACAGTAATCGAATACATCTATAGTAATATTGGGAGCTGATAATTAAATGAATTATTAATATTTGGCCACAAACAACTATTTTTGCGAGCTCGCTAAATACTATGCTGATTTGGTTTTCATATTACATATTGTTAGGCACACTTTTAAGTGAATTTGGAAATTAAAATAAAAAACAGACTTTAAACGAAAACAATGGCCACTATTGTACACTATCAGCCATTTTTCTCTAAATAGTTAAGACTTGCTATTTCTCTAGAATTAAAAATTGACGACATCACCTGTGTAGTCTTGTTACCAAAAATATTTAAATTGAATCTAATTATGAGTAAACACTCAGACAAACCCAGAATGTGGGACATTCTACAAGAAAAGTGTCTGGACTCTTGAAAAATAAATTAATGTCATGCAAAACAAAACAAAAGATTAAAAGAATATTCTAGATTAAAGACAACTAAAGAAAATAATATAATACAAGGAAGTGTATTTGGATACTGGATTACAAAGAGCTCTAAAGCATATTTTGGTTAGCTTGAATAGAGAGTATATATTAGAGGATATTACATCACTGTTGACTGTGTTAGGTATTATAATGTGGTGACACATAATTCTTCTTCAGTTATGTGACCTGAAGCATTTAGGAGTGAAATTTTAATGTCTGGAATTGCTTTCAAGCCGCTCAAGAGGGAGAGAGAGATGGGAGATATAACAGGTAAAACAAATGTGGCAAACTCTTTAAATTAGTGAATCTAGATGAAAGATATACACAGGAGCTCATTGCACTATTTTTTCAAGTTTTCTTAGATATAAATTTTTTCAAAATAAAAATTTGAAGGAAAAATAAAGTATTCAAAATAGAAGCAGACACTGGCAAAAATCATCTTTTACAAATGAGTAGCTTGACCCCTTCAAATCAACATAAATTAGACACCGTAGAATTACTTACTGAAAATGAAAACCATTTACTTAGTATGCATTGCACGTTTTCTCAACATATTCCAAACTAGATGGCAATAACTTTTTAGACATATACATTTTAAATATTCCCATGGTAGCAAAATGCTGTAATGGTTTCCTGGTGTTTTATGTTGGATTGGAAACCAAAAAAAAAAACACATTAAACTGTTAAAATCATAATGAAATACAAATAAATATATGCACCAGTAAATTTCTCTGACAACAATTCTCAGCTGACTTTTAGAATATCTCAGGTTTTTTTGCATTTTACCAGTTATTCCACAAATATGATCCAATTAGCTAAAAACAAATGTTTAATATTATTAAAATGCTGCATTATAGCAAACATCATTAAAAGTATCAAAATTAGTGAGTCATTAATTTCACTTTGACAATAATATTAAAAAGAAATAATAATGACACATTTTATTAAAGCCTATCCTTGTAATAGGAAGGGCTTACTCGATTATTCAAGAATTCTTGCCACTTTAAAATTCATCAGTTTTTATCATTGTAAAAACAACTCTACTTATAATGCAATTAAATTGTATTTTGAAATTTATCTATGGACAAAAACTTACCATTCCTTAGAGATTTTTTAATTATCTAAATTACACAGCCTAAGAAACCATCAAGCATTTTAATTTTACTGGGACAGATGAAATAAAATTTTATAACATGCGACCCACAACTTATTCTAGCAACTTCTTCCAAAACCTTGATGGATTTCTGAGTACATTTGTTTCAGTATTTGAAATTTTAGCTATTTGAATATATAGCAAATCCAATAGCCCTTGCTTTGCTAAGATTTAGGTTTATTCATGCTATTTTCATTATAGTTAGTATATGATCAGTTATACTCTATATGAAAAATTATTTTCCCTTATTCTGTTCTACAGATAATAAGCTTTAAAAAAATTAAAAATAGGCAGAAAAGTGTGTTTAAGTTTCCTGACAAGCAGTTTCAGAGTTCATCTGGATGTGTTCTGTCAAAATATGCATAAATTTTCTCGATATTGAACACAACAGCCCAGCTCATCACTGCCTATATACTGCAGCCTTTTTCTTTCTTCAGAAACACAGATAATTTTATGCAGGAATTTACCAATCTACAAAAATTTACACAATGCTCAGCAATAACCAGTAATTATTGTGGGATAATGTAAGGTGCTTTTGAGGAATATAACTTTGATAGGATAGGGCTTATAAGCTTTACCAATTTATCTTTAGCCGTCCTGTCATTGGTGCTTAAAAGGTTAAGACTTTATTTGTGAAAACATAGAGAGATAGTGGGGAATCATGTTGTCTACAGCTTCATAAATCTTGCTTAAGATCCTTTTCAATTACCATCCATTTCTCCTTTAAAAAGGGACAAAAAAATAGAGGAGTGGAAGCAGGTCAGGGCAGTGTGCGACAATGACAGTGTGATGGGCTTGGGCCCCCCGTGGCGTTTCCATCTGCTATCATTAAGGTGACTACTCAGACATGAACAAATCCCTCTTGCTGTGCTGACAGGCAGACTTCAAAAACTATGACAAGGCATTAAGACAGAAAGTCACAGAGAGAGAGAGACAGAGAGAGAGAAAGAGATGTCATATCCCACAAACAATACTGCCTTGCAAAAAACCTCTGAAATTTTATTGGAATTCAAAGTAAAAAATCTTTCATAAAGGGTGCTACTTGACTTCTCAAATCCCCTTTCAAATTAGCTCACCCCTAGAAAGATTGAGGACAGAAAACAAATCCTTTGCTCCTACCTGTATGCTCTACCATAAGAGACCCAAATTTTTTGCTCATTCTTCAGCAAAAGTGGATTCTTAATTTCTTGGCCATTCTCATCAAAAAGCCGCATTGAGGAAAAATTGAGGCCTGGTGGGTTGATGGAAGAACCTCGAAGCCTTTGATGAATCTTGAGAAGTAACTGGTTGGGGGTGGGGGGGCACAGGGGATAGAAGAGAATAAATAACCCGAAATGGGAACATCTGTAATAAACTGTCTCTACTCTGTAACAAATGAAGTCCAAACAAATGATAATTAAATTCATATAGAATGTTAAAAGAAGTGTGAAATGACAGCAATGTTTAGCTCAGTGTAAAGTAACAAAATGAGCATGGGCTTTTAACCAGCAGGGGGTGCCACAGGCTTGTGATTGAGCTCTGACCCTTTGGCACGGGACTGAAAGCAGATGTGACAGTCTTACAGAAAGAGCATTTAGCTTCTACACATGGTAACGGTCCTCTTTGATAAGGGTTATGCTTTTCTTGTCTGAGCTACACATTTTGTTAGGGGCCATCCAGACCACGTTCAAGTTTTACCATCACCAAGCTCCCTGTCCCCAGCAAATCTCAGGTAACTAATAGTAGGACAATTGCCAAAATTAAAATCACTTTTAGCCTAAGTTGGTTCAGTTAGAAAGATCTCTCCCTAGATGCATTTTAATTAGGAACCCTGAAATAGCTTGTGGACATCTTCAATAATGAATGTTTTTAAGTTGTGAGTAAGACATCATTAAAGTGTGAAGTATGAAAAGCTGTCATTTAATATTTAAAATAATAGCATTGTCAGTGTTTGCTTCTATCTTGCATTTAGAGTTTCTAAATTATCGAGATATTTCTAATTTAGGGCAAATTTCAAATATAAAGTAAATCTAACAGAACTGTGCTGCATATGGTATTTGAAAAGAAATTTTTCATTATCCTCTGTCACCTTTGTTTAAGTGTTTCGGCCTCTGCTCTTCCCTGCTCTGCACTCCACCCTATCCATCACTCTTCCCCCAGCCTTCTGTCACGGGCTTCCTTTTCATCCGTCCCTTGTCAGTTCTTGTGTTTCTCGATTTCTTGTTACTCTGTAATCCCTGCAGGGATGTGGATATAGCTGTGGTCTTTTCTGGCCTAACTGCAGTTCAGGGTCCTTTATTTTCTTTTCTTTTTTGCTCCTCTATTAATTCCCATTGAGGGTATATTGAGAAGTGCTAAATGCTGAGGCTTAGAGGAAAGAAGGGAAAGTCACAGGTCTGCCATATATCTCAGGTGTCTCACGATTGGCTGTAAACTCGACTGAGCAAATATTTCCCTTGACCAGAAACTACATGTATAGGACCTAAGAATTAGGTTTTGTCCCAATTAGAGATACATAATAGTATCTCCAATTTAGTGTTTTCATTAGCTGAAGATTTTTAGTCTTGAGCATTAGAAAGGCATTAATAGTTCTCATCCAGCATAGCCAATTCCTTTGAACTAAAAATGATCATTACTCTCCTCTTTAGGTGTATAAGAGGCAAAGGTGTCAGAACAGTAAAAATCTATATTGCCTTGGTTATTTTTCCATTGAAATGGCAAACATATTTTGAAATCTACAGATTGTATTTTAAAGCCCAACATTTATTTTTGTGTTGTTTCAGCCCTTGAGCTTATTTTTGTTGCTTTGCTATTATTTCAGAAAATATGTTATGCTGATCATTTTTTAAATCACAGAGATTTTGCTTTACAGGCACCACCTTTTTATAAAGGGGAATGATACAAAAGATTTAAGGCCTGATCCAGGAAAGAAATGTGTGTACAAAGAAGAGGGATGCGAGGTAGACATGCGATGTCAGCACCTGACCACTTAACCAAATTCACTTTCACAGGAGTTGCATTGCAATCTCTATTTTCTCAAGTTGGTGACAGACTGCATTTTAGGTGTTCAAAGATGAGCATTCAACAGTCTACAGGAGGTAAGGGCCTCTGTGCCCCTCATCTTTAGGTCATTGGTTAGGGCTTTGCTGTAGCAACGAAAAACTGTGATAATCTTCACCCATTTATCTTTAAAGCTATCATCACCAGGCCTTTATAGGATAATACAGGATAAGAATTTGTTCAAGAATCTGAAAAGAATGTAAAACATCTTAGGCTAGTGGGCTAGTGATTGAGACACGTGTCCACACAAGGGAGTGGTTGTCCTTGGGTGGTGTAACAAGGGCTCTCCCAAAGAGCTTTATAATGCCCCTAATTAATGTTTTTGCCCCAGATTTATTGCATACAGAATCACAGCACAGCTCAATTTCAGTGTGCTGTAAGTCAATACAAAAAGTTTCTATAGAATAATATCTTCCTTTATTTTATTTATTTATTTATTTATTTTTTTGAGACAGCGTCTCACTCTGTCGCCCAGGCTGGAGTGCAGTGGTGTGATCTCAGCTAAATGCAACCTCGGCATCCCAAGCTCAAGTGATCCCCGCACCTCACCCCCGAGGAGCTGGGACTACAGGCACGTGCCATCATGCCAGGCTAATTTTAAAATTTTTTGTAGAGATGGGGTTTTGCCATGTTGCCCAAGCTGGTAAAATATTCTAATATAAAAAGTGGGGGAGACAGGTGAAAATCCTATGAAGGCCTTTGTGTCATGGTGATTTGTATAATCAGGTATGTTATGGTAAAAAGAAACCAGTCAAGGTTCTGGATCTTTCTCTCTCTAATCATAGTATTTCTTCCTCTCTTCCATGTCCAGCTAATGATCCAATGACAGCATCCCAATTCACATACAACTTTTTTGATTGGTTGTAAAAGCCAGATAATGGATACCACCAGGAGAGGTAAGTCTGAGGGTGTTGAACTGAAGGGAGAAAAAGGGAGCAAGTTACAGAGCAAAGGCAGGCAAGAGAGCCCAAAACGCTGGTGTGCGCTCGGGTGCATAACCTCAATTTGTAAACAACAGGCTGTTCAGTGTCCTTTTATGCAAGACAAAGACCCAAAATAAAGACCCTGAACATGTTGGTTTTGCCTGAGAAACATCCCAATTGTCTGGAAAACAGGAAAAGGTAAGAGTGCCTATGATGTAAGCAAAACTAGCTGTACTTGCTCTTAATGAGCAGGGGAGAAGACCAAGGCTGCATGTTAATTACTCAGAATCTAGGGTTTAGAAAGACCCTAGATCCAGGGCATACTCTCCACTGAATATAGAACTTTTTTAAAAGTGTAAACAAGAGGGAAATCCTGATGTATCAAAACCAGGGCCCAGCATAGACAGATTCCAAATATAAGCATGAAAAAGATTAAGAAACTGTTAGGTATGGAGTTCAGGAGTTAACACTATACTAATGCTGAAAGCCTAAGAAATTCAGGAGTCAATCTTTGCAATATTGGTCTTTACAGATCAACAAACCATTGATCTTCTGCGAACAACTTTAAGATGTAATTGTCTAAATTAGTTGCAATTAACTTGCAAGACACTTTAAAGTCATAAGTAAACTGTCAGTAAACTTACTCTTTCCATCATATGATCAGTCTGAATTGGGCTATCAGATCCCAGATCTTTTTTCCTGATACCAACAGAGATCTCTCCAGTGTTTTTACCATTTTCAAATACCTGAAAAATAAACACATTCAAAAATAAAAATAAATACATGCACACATACATACATATATTCATACACACATAGATAAATTTAGGTAGTCGTCCTTTTCCTTGGTATCGTGTCAACTGAAAATTGTGCACATGGGAATTGTGCAAAGCAAGGACAGACTGTATAAACACACGTGAGTAGGTAACTGGCAAAGGAAATCAACAGCACTAAAAGAAAAGATAGGCTCCTGCTTCTCCTTTTGGTTTCAGTGTCTAATTTGACTGGCACACCCTACAATCTTAGAAGAAAATGTGGACATTAAAGGAGGAATCACTGACCACAGTGGATGCTTAAGTGAAGCAAGTGTCAAAAAAAAAAAAAAAAAAAAAAAAAAAAAAAAAAAAAAGTCAATAGCAATCTCACTAGCTCATTTTGTTCTTCATAAAGCCACAAATAATGTGAGGAATATTTATCTTTGGTTTATACTTAAATACATCAGCGTTCAGCTCATCTTCTGGCTCACTAAAAGGAAATTTAACCTGACAGATTTATTGCATAACAGTATGATGAAAGTCATCCATTTTAAGTGCACATATCCAACAAGTTGTTGAGAACAGAGATAAAATTCATAATATTGCATTATGTAACACTCGCTGGGGAAAAAAATTGCTAGCAAACATTCTGGTCAAAAGGATCTGAATAAACCAGTCCCGACAGGATGGCTTCACTAGAGTGAACACCACCCCTCCGACCACGCGGAGGATCCATGTGGGATGTGCCATTCACCAGGCAAGAAAGGAAGCAGCTGAGACAGGGGCCTGATGAATAATTTAACTCCCTGCTTTTTATTTTTTTTCTCAAAAGTTCTTTTCTTCCCTCTCTGATATGCCCATCACATCATCAGAGCCATTTTATTTCTAGTGCTATTTCCAGAGAAGATAATTTGGGAGAATACTTATTTAAAAATGAAAAAGAAAACTACCTTTTTTATATTTTTGAGAAAGTTTTTGAAATGTATTTAATTAGTCTCAATCTGGAATTTAGAAATAATGTGTTTCAGTAACACTTCCTCAGCCTTTAGTCATAAAAAAAGAAAAATAAACATAGTAATGTCAAGAATGGTAGGTTTCATTCCAGTCAGTGACATTCATTGAGCTACTGATAGTCCAGTCGAGACCCTACAGCTTTCAGCCTTGGTGCACTGAGGATTATTTTTAAGTAATAATCCTGAGTAAAGATATAATTCTGAGTAAAAAACATCTCTCTACTTTTCCAAGGAACCTTGTAATCCCAACTTTTGCCTGCAAACCTATGGAAAATAATGTGGGAAAAGACTCTTACTGTAGCCATAATCTCTTCAGGGCTCAAAACTCTCAAGCAACAGAGAGATTTAGCAATGAAGGTCACAATTCTAGGTGACATGTATTCTGCAAGGTTAGTGTTGACAAAAGCTCAGTTTGGAGAACTTATTGATGTTCCTTTGTCGAGACTTGCTAGACATGGAGTCAGAGTGCAGCAAATTATATTCTAGAAAATAGCAGTGCCAAGTGCTAACTGCTAACCTGAGAAAGCAGAGAGGTCTTGGTCAACACCTAACACCTTCATTAGCTCACTACTTTCTTCACTACTGATAATAAGGCTTCCCTTCTACGTCCAGAAAAGTGTTCTCGAAAATAAAAATAAAAATTGGCTATGACCTCCGTAAATCCTACAAGGGCATTTTAAAAAAGAGATGTTTTAGTGGTTATATAAAAGTTTAGATGCTTAAGTGAAGGGAGGCTGCCCTCACTAGTCATACATATAATGTGTTTTCACTGTGTGTCCAGAAACCTAAAAATTTTCCAAACTGAAATCTTATGAGATTCTGTTTTTCTTAAAGCTCAGCTCTAGTTTATAAGCTCTATATTAATATGCCTATTTTTAAAATGCAATATATATATACACAAAAATATATTTATGTACTTATTCCTCCTTTGCCTGAGGAATATTTTTATTTCTCATATCCAACGTTTAAACAAAGATAGCTCTCTAAAGAGGGAGTTTCTATGATTGACTTAGATATAGGAAATAAAAAATAGTCTACCTTTATTTTCCTCCTGCCCAATTCTTGGCTTAAGAAAAATCAGCTGCTGTATTGGCTTCCCAGTGGTTCTCTGCATGGCCTCACCTCCTTACAGCTCTAAAATTAAATTCTCACCCTTGGAGTGGGATGATGCAGAAAGCCAGCTAAGGCTAGCCTTGGGTCCCAAGGAATAAGATAATAGAACCTAAAAAATAATGATGCACATAGCAGCTAACAACTACTGAAGAAACATCTAGAAATAGGAATAAGTTATATCTATGCCCTTAGTAACACAAAGTACAGAGTTTCAAGAGTGTTTTCTATTCACCACAGTCTTTTTGCTTTCCTTCATGTCAATATTGACTTTTCTTAAGCTAAACTAAATTAGATTAACACTGAAGTTTCATTGTAATGTCAATTCATTCACTTGACAAATATTTATTGAGTGCCTACTATGTACCAAGCACTGTTCAGGAACTTAAAAAGCATCGGTGAACTAAGATTCCTGCTCTCAACATGTTTACCCTGTGCTGGACTAGAGGGAGAGTCCAACAATAAGCAATAAGCAGAACACAACAAATGAGTAAATCATTTAGCATATTCAGGGTACACCTGGATCTTGTGAGACCTGAGGTTTATATAATTTGGTAGGTCTTCTTTAACAAACACAATGCAAAACTACAAATGCAAAACTAGTTATGAAATACTCAGAATAAGAAAACAACTTACACAGATTTAAAAAGTTGACACATAGCAAAAACATAAAAATTCAGAAAAAGTCACAAAATACTTTCATTAACTATCCAAAGCACATGTTTTTACTTCATTGTGTTTAATCACCTCTTCATATAGTAATTCTGTAACATTTTCTAAAGAGAGAACAGAAAGATAATCCGGCCTTATCTCTAGCATGGTTAATAAAAAAAAATTATTCTTGATTAGAAGTTTCTTTTGGCATCACAACTTTATTGGTAATTTCATTAAAAGTTTTAGGATTGATGCCATATTTTGGAAAACCTCAATCATATTTCTTTAAAATATGAGCTGTAAAATGTGGAAAAATATTCTACCAATTAATTGGCTCTGTTAATTTCACACCATGTTTCTCTTCCACCACCCACCCACATACATTTGGTGCCAAGCACTCTAGCGCACCAATCAGAAAACAGTACACTATAAGGTCAACAGGCAGTAGCTGTCTTCCTGGAAGCTCTTTCCATACCAAAATGGCTAGTATTAACTAAGCTATATAAAGAAGTGACTGCAAAACACTAACTAGATTACACTACACCCAACTCAATGTATCCCCAATTCAATTTGTTCTTAGCCATACCTCAAAAATGTGTGCAGTCATTTCAAAATCATGTGGTACAAGAGAGGATATGAAAAAGAAGAAATTGAAGTGGAAAGAGACAATAGGTTTAACCAATTGCAGTTAAAATATATCACGTTTGCAAATTTTACAGGAATTATGCAGGGAAGGGGCCCTAAGCTTAAGTTCCATTAGCGTCATGGTGAATGCACCCTGTGTGGGTTAGAAGGTGGTGCTATGTAAAGGAGAAAAAATACAATAGGGCAGGGGATACAGGCCTGGGATCAAGCAGTGTGATGGATATGCTGGTCATTATATGAATCGGGTGATCTGGATAAGCCTCAAAGAGAGAAAACATTTGAGCAAAGACTTAGAGGTAAAAGAATTAGCCCAACAGACAACTAGGAGAAGAGTACTGCATGCAGAGGGAGCTGACAGAGCAATGAAGCAAGACAGGAGTGCGCCCAGTATGTTCCAGGAATTGTAAGGAAGCTGGTGTGACTGGAGCAGAGTGATGCAGAAAGAAAGTACATAAGAAATCACAGAGGTAAGTGGTAGAGAATGAAATAGGGAATCATTGCCGAGTTTGGAATAATGTAGTAAAAGGATCTGACTTATTAACACATTTTAAAAAGGATCATTATGGCTGCTGCCTTGGAGTAGACTGTAGGAGGCAAAGCAATCCGAAGCCAGGATGACAGTGGCTCCAATCAGAGTATTAACAATTGACATGCTGAGAAATGGGCAGTTTCTGTTGTTCTGTCAGAGTTATGCTATTTGCTTCTTTGTTTATTAGCAGGACTGGGAAATAAAATTTGTAGGTAGGTTAATATTTCAGAAACATTATGTTTGCATTTACGGATGTAAATAAATCAATGTAAATATAACTGTTCACGGGGAGTATTTGTGAAGGCATAAAAATGTCAACAAAGTATTAAAAACATTTTATTGACTGTGAAGATTGTAGAGGCATTGACTTGAACTATATAGGGAAACTTAAACTATATAGGGAAAGCTGACCTGAATGGGCAGTTATGAGCCAATGTGGTTCTTTGATGAGCTTTCCTGTAATCACTTATGACATCTATTTAAGGACTTGTGCAAGGCCTGGTTCAGTACTATTATCTGGCCTTTAATGCTATAAGTCTGGTTAAGAACTAGCTGTGGGGGAACAGCAGGTTCCCAAACTCTCCATAACCACTGGGCAGACCACCCAGGAAGCTCTTCTGTGCGTGAGCAGAAGGCCAAACACCTAAGCTTCAAAATGCCTCAGGATGCAATGCTGTCAAGAGGCAATAATAGAAAAATGACACCGCAGTGTGTTGCCAAAGTTGGTTGGCCATACTGTAACAGGATTTATTACTAGAGGTCTGGTGAAGGAAAGGAATATAAAATAGCCATACAAAACTATCTGGCATATATCAGGTGAACATAATTAAACACATAACGAACATATAAGGTTAACTTACATGTTGTCTTGGACTGGGGACCCTTGAAACTGACTCTGAGACGAAGATTTGCCTGCAGGAAGTTTACTGTGAACTCTCTCAGGACCAACGTTGGTGAGGGAATGAGCGAAACAATGGGCAGATGGGCAAAGCAAGTTGAACTGTGACGCAGTTGCAACAAACGCCTCTGGTGGGAGCTCT